TAGCCAATCACGTGCAGCCCATTGTGTAAATAATGTATATAAGCAGATACTTTGAGGGGACTTCCATTCCTCCTCACCACTATGAGCTGAATAAAGAGCATGAAATCACTTTGTGACTCTGAGTATATTTCATAATGAATGGGGTTTACCCCCCTACTGTACTTTCTTCAGCTAAAGGTGCATTCCTGTACTCCTTAATATGACCATGTTTTGAGGTTGCATGTGTTTACGCAATATGAGAAATGTTTAGTAGCCATGTTTCAAACCCTTGTAAGCTTTCAGTTTGGTAAAGAAGAAGCAGACAGCAACACCAACGTTGACAGTATCATCAAAATGCTTTTGATTTCCTTAAGTATTGGCAGGATAAAATCTGAGTTTCATCCAATGATACAGAATAAGCTGCAGCATTTGTCTAGTGGGTGTTTGAACACCAGCGAGGAGTAAATGATTTGATTTTGTGGGCTCAGAGGATTTGTCAGCTGCCTCAGAAGTATAATTCTAGCTCTTCATATCCCTGCTGCTTCTAATTTAGCAGGACAGGCTCATAATTGAAGCAAATTAACTATTTACACTTGCCACTTCTACCAGGGGAAAGAGGACATATCAGCAGGAAAGACTGAGTGGGAAATTAAATCCTTCCCACTTGTGTCAGATCTGCCCTTATATAAACACATTAACAGTAATTTCATGAGGCGTCAAACATAGGAATAAATACTGAGGGATAAAATAATGAGGTGTTGCTATTGAGCTGAACTGTTGCAGCTAATATTACTGAGAACAAATTATGCAGCCTGTAAGAAAGCATATGTTACAGCACTCCAACAGTTCCCTGGCATGTCTTATCTGATCATTAAGCAGTGGGTCCCTAGGAACATAGACTGGTCTTCCTCCTACAAGGTCCACGTACAAGGTTTAAATAAACATACACGTGCAAATGCACATATATTGGGACCAGGCCATTCCTGCTTTGACTCAACTGACAACAGTGGCATTACAAATAAGAGGTGAACTTTGCGCAGCACACTTTGGAGTGGCCATGCCGTTCCATTTTTAGCATAATGGCATGTTTTACTGAGCTCTTTTGGCTGAAGCCATGAAGTCAGTTATATTAATGTAAACAAGAACATTTTGTTTGTAATTTGTTCATTCTATTATAGCTTCACTGGGTCTCCAATTAGGAATTTAAGTTTCATTTTACATTTACATCTGGTTTGGATTTAAGTTGTTGGTTTTTTTCTTAGACTCCCAGAATGGGGAAGAAAAATTACCTACACTGCCTTTTAACTCAGATTTCTGTCTGAAAGCCAAGGAAAGCTCCATTTATCACAATACTTTTAACTCTTAATTGCCACGTGCATGTTTTCCACGAGCAGAGAAAAATGGGCAGTGTAAGTTTATTTAGAAAGAAACCAAAGGGGCACACCAAGTGATGTGGAGGGGGGACAGAGGGCAACATTCCTAAAACCAAACCACAAGTGGCTAAAAGATTCAGTGGCAGAGCTTAGTACCCATGTCGTAAAAAGAAAAATAGGGATAAAATGGGGGAAAGATGACCTAAGCCAGTCTTGTCTTGCTCAGAGATGTACATGGAAGATGCTAACACCATAAGAGTTGCAAGCAATATTTCTTTCACAAATAAAGCGGGAAGATTTTATTTTATTTTATTTGTTTAAAGTATCTTTAGGCAGCTTGCCTGTCCGAACCAGTGTATAAATAAACAAAAGATTAAAAGCCATAGAAAATTTAAAACACTGCAAATCAACACTTGAGTTTAAAAAATGCAGAACAGGGGAGAACATAATTGAGTCAGACTGTCACTCAGCTAACAAACATCATGCCTGGAAGGGCAGTTGGAAAAGATTCCTTTTCAGGGCCTTCAGAAAACCCAGCAGCATAGAGATTTGGTGCAGGTCCAACAATAAGGAATACCATAGTCATGGTGCCACCACAGAAATGGACCTTTCTCTTGTGGCCACCCACTTTACTGACCATGGGGATGGGCACAGCAGGAAAGTCTACAAAACAGATCATGACGTGGACAAGGAAATATGAGTGCAGGTAGTCAAATAAACAGCTTGCAGGGAAACAGCTTAGGCCCTTAAAGGTCAAAACCCATGGAATTGGTTCAGAAACTCACTGGTAACTAGTGCAGCTGATATAATAAAGTTGTCTAATAGTAGTCAGGCAGCTTCATTCTGAACCAGCTGAAGTTTCTGAACCACCTTCAAAGGCAGCCTCCAAGTAGAGCACTTTGCAGTAGTCTAGCCTGGACAGGACCAAAACATGGATTGTGGTGAAAAGTAATTATTGCCATATGAAAGCCCATCCAAAGGACCTGCAGATTCTTCCCAGATCCTACATCCAGCAAGGATATACAAAGGCCACTCACATCTTGGTCTTGACAGATTGTCTTTTCTGAAGGAAAATCTATGCCTGGAAAAGTTTTTAAGGCTTCTTGAAGTTCCATGATTCTATCATTTTAATGCTGGCCTTGGGAGAAGAGGGTGGGAGATTAAGGAGGCCACAATTTATTTTGCTCCTGAGCTTTAGTCTGAACACAGCATGTACTTTAGAAGCCTGAAGCAAGCAGCCACTCACATGATACTGAAATATAATATATTCACATATTATAGAAAAATTCCTGTATTGAAATGGACAAATAGTCCATTCAACCCAGCATGTTACTTCAAGCAATAGACATTGCTGTATACATTAGAGTATTGAAGAGGGGGAAAAATCCTTCCTTAATGCACCTGGACAAGCTATCCATTGCCCCAGTGTTTGGCCCACTAGCCAATTTAGTTGTCCTTATAAGCCACACATAAATAATAATGGTGGCTAAGAAGAATAACCTTTCTCGACAGATTCCTAGGGCAAAATCTTGTTTTGTTGAAGATAATGCCAAAGTGGTCACTGACTTGAATTAGGCTTGAAGGTTTAAGACTTACATGACAATAGGTAGCAACTTTTCAGATGGCTGTACTATGTGTTCTTTAATGGAATACACATTGGTTTCTCTGCAATTCACAAAGAGAAACTGCCAAAGCCAAGTGATTAACACAGCTTTCCTTTAATAATTTGCATGCTCCCATATGCTAGTCAAATAAACACAGCTGGAAAATGAGAAACCCCTGGATGTTTCCGTCAATTAATGTAACATGTCTGGCAAATACTCAAAAGAAAATAATTGTATGCAACCATTTCTGTGTAAATTCTAAACAAGGGACAAATTTGTTCATCTCAGCTGACTGGCTTCTTGTTGTGAATTCCCTATAATGGGACAGGAGAAGGTTTTTTTTAAGGGGTGGAGGGGAGTGTATTCCTAGTAGTTCTTGGGCTTTCACTACCTTCTGTCTTTTCAGATTGCAAGATCTCTGTTACCTTTCCCTAGGGGAACTAAGGAGGGATATAGCCATGGCCTGAGGATGGGACAGCATTGTATGGTGGTGGTAGTGGAGGGGAATTAATTCTTTCTGTGAATGGTAACAGGGACCTTCTCTTGTTGCATTATGAAGTTGTGAGGAACCTGTGGCCCTATGAGTGGTGCTGGATTACAGCTCCTATCACCCCTGGCTGGAATGGATCATGCTGGCTGGGGCTCATGGAAACATTAATGTCATTTATAGCCTGCCATTCACCATGCAGCCTCAAGTCGGGTTTCATTCAGCTTAAAACAACAAATAAGCCACACAGTACACAGCAAAACTCGACTAAAATTTTAGACTGTGTCAAAAAGCAAGCAGAACCAGCAGCAACAGTGCAGAGGGAATAGCTAAATAGCAGACATGTGATCAAGAAATGCATTTTCTTCTGTATATGGAAGATACTGTTTCTATTTTTTTATTTTTTAAAAAAAATATGATATTAGGAGTCTAGAAATTGTTGTATTCCTTATCATTTGATTTCACAGGTCTCATTTATAGTTTCCCCTCACCATTCACTTGAAGAAAGTCCCAAAGTGGTTGGAAGAGACAATCGGGAGGAATATAAAGAAGTGCTGAGAGTTCCTTTTTGCATTTGTGTTAAAATAATACCCCCCCCACACACACACACATCTGAAATCACAGACTTTCACTTCTCTTTTCCACAGAAGGGCTGCATTACAAAGGTAGCTGCTAATTCTTTCAAGCCCAAGACATGGCCTGGGCCCTTCTAGACATCTTTTTATTATACAATAATTTCACAGTTATTGCAAAGTAATCCAGATATCTTTTCTTAAAGGTTTCTTTTGTGATGAGGAAATCACACTTTCCTACCACTTAAACAGAAACACATTGTCATTTGGGAAATGCAATTTTCTCAAACAATAGCCATTCCAAACGCTGTCTGGAATGGGACTGCATGGGCGCCTATTACTTCTCTTCTGCCGACAAGGGCCCAGGCACACAACATATAGATATGTTAAAAACAGAATAACACTTTGCACATCAGTGTGCTACAGCAATCATATTCTGCTGGAGCCAGAAGAATATCAGATATTACTGGGAAGGGCTTCCTTTGATGGACGACTGGCACTGACTAAAAGGAAATACAGGCTCTCCTATAAAAGAGCAAAGTGCACGGCCAGTCATATGGAAGGAACGTGCAGACACTCCTTTGGTATGATCCTGCGGGAATTTTCAAACCAGCAAAGAAGGATAGGCTAGAAGAGGCAAGTCCTGAAAAGATCAACAGATCAGAATCAACTTCTAAGGTGGAATGTGCCTGGGATGAGCACCAAAATTGCAGCTGTTTGGTCATATCTGTGCCAAAAGTCTCCTAATATAACAGCAGCTGAATCTAGGCCCAGAGCTCGTGCAATCACAACAACACTGTCAAGATATAGGCAAGGATGCTAATGCAGCTGATCCAGTTTTCCTCTAGCAAGTTTTCCTTTTGTGGCTCATATTCTGATGTGGCACATTGATTCTCTTTGGAATCAAAGAAACACAGTAGCCAATAGACCCATTTCTAATGGAAAGTTAAATCAACTTAACATATGTATATGTGTATTGCTGTACCTGTTTTTGTTCTTCTCCCAAACCATCCCACATGGAAGCGACAATTTTAGAAACTTCGCCAAAGGTAGCATTTGGGTTTTGGCCTTTGATGGCAGCTTGAGTATCTCGGAAAAATAATGCATAGGCAGAAACAGGTTTCTGTGGCTCATTAGGGTCCTTCTTCTTCTTCTTTTTGGGAGTTTTGGGCTTCTTTCCCATATCAGAGGCAGGTCTTTTTTCTCCCCCATTGATCTGCAAAGAAAGCAAAGACTATATTACAATACAAACTATCATGATCGTAGAACAAACTAAATCCCCATTTCTCAACCAATATGCATCTGGGGTTCTGCTTGAAATTGTATTTTAATTAGAGTGCTTTTCATAATCCAAATTGTTGGCATCTTACATGATTTCATCTATAAAATGCATTTTAGGTATTTTTGGTTATGTAATCTTATTTTCATAATTTTATTATACATTTACAGTTTGCTTTCATTTCATTGCTGCATCTAAGTTCTGGCTTAGCTTTTCATCTTTTTCAAGTCTTACTGCTAATGGCATGACATCACTGCAAAGTGTTTCATAGCACATTATACACTGGCTTATAGTTCAACCACTGGGGCAATCCATGTGCAGTAAAAGTTACATTCTCTCTGATGGAGATTTCTTCCTTCCCTTTTTAGTACTGGCATCAATTGTATGCATGCTTTAAAAAAACCCTAAGAATCAATGTGTCTTCCTCCTGATTTAATAGGGATGGGATTGGACATGAATTGTATATGATTGCAATTCAGCTGTATCGAAAACCATGAAACTATTTTTGAAATCTTGTTTGTGTAACAGTATCTGAAGTTGGATACTTAAAAGAATATCTATTATGTGGCTGCTGATCAACATAACTGTATGGCCAGGGGTATCATTTTTTTATCACTTTGCCTTTCAAGGTCAAATGTCTATTGTGCTTTTCCCTAGAGGTTCAGTTGTCAGACAAGAGAACAGAAAACAGCTTTATTAAAACTTTGATACTGGTGCTGGGGTAAGATAACTCCAACAATTCATTTAGAAGCACAATGTTATTTATGTTCTAAATGCCACTCCCACTGAAGCCAAGAAAGAATCAGAGAGCAAGTATAAAGATGGTGTTACTGACAAATAGGGAAAATCTTCCATATAATTCTTCTTCAGATCTTCAAATATCAAAGGTTTAGTGAGAAGCTTTTGAGTTTTCCAAAAACATTTCATCAGACTGGATATTAAGGAAAGCAATGTGTGGGGTCGAGGGGGAGTGGGGAAGAGAGACAAAGCAAGCAAAAAGCTGGCTTAGACCATAAAGTCTGCAATGGTTGCAGTCTTAAAATGGTTGCCACTGTAGCCAATATTACACAGGCCCTGTGAACTGTAAGCTAAGAAGCTGGGGCACACAGTTTTGTTGCTTCCAGTTTGCTTCACACTGGGGGAGGCATCATATGTGAACCTGGGATTGTGGTTTGTTGCTGTCTAAAAAATCAATAACTATAAACTGTCAACAAATATGAGTTAAGTTTGGCAGGCGATCATGACTAGATAGAAACAAGTCATGATCCTGAGTTTGGACTAAGCGCCACCCCACCCCACCCCACCCCGGTTTGTTTGCCTGCTTGCATCAGAGGGGGAATGAAATGGAAGTAATCAAGCTGCATGCCCAATATGGATTATTAAACCAAATCTGTTTGCCTACCATTACCAAAAAGTAGGAGAAACCTCAGGAAAAAGAGCAAGGCTCATTCAACTTAAATTTTGTTGTTTAAATCTTCCATCTTATGCCGCAAATTGATTACTTATGTAATAGCTGTTTCTGGTCTAAAAGCAGCATTGTAGTGGAAAATATGCAAGCCTAACAATCTATCTGATGTGGTAGCTTTTCACCTGCTGGAAGGTTTTGGCCTGGGCAAGCACCCAAACATGTGGTCTTCTTCAGCCCTTAGACTCATAAGAATATAAGAAACCTGTTGCCCAAGGCTCATCTGATCCAACATCCTGTTCTTACAGTGGCCAAACAGATGTCCATAGGAAGCACCATAAGCAGGTCAAGAGTGCAACAGCACTCTCTGCACTTGTGCTCACCAGCAACTGCTATTCAGAGGCATGCTGCCATCCAGTGGGGTAGCATGAGTTGTCAGCACCCGGGGCAAGGCAAGTAATTTGCACCCCCTAACCCGTGGATTTGCGCCCCCTAACCCTAACCCCCAGATGTTGCGCCCGGTGCGGCCGGGCCCCCCTGCACCCCCCACGCTACGCCACTGCTGCCATCCAGAGTGCAGGTAGAACATAGCCACCTTACCTAGTTGTCACTGACAGCTTTATCTTCCATAAAGGTAAAGGTAAAGGTACCCCTGCCCATACGGGCCAGTCTTGCCAGACTCTAGGGTTGTGCGCTCATCTCACTCTATAGGCCGGGAGCCAGCGCTGTCCGCAGACACTTCCGGGTCACGTGGCCAGTGTGACAAGCTGCATCTGGCGAGCCAGCGCAGCACACAGAAACGCCGTTTACCTTCCCGCCAGTAAGCGGTCCCTATTTATCTACTTGCACCCGGGGGTGCTTTCGAACTGCTAGGTTGGCAGGCGCTGCGACCGAACGACGGGAGCGCACCCCGCCGTGGGGATTCGAACCACCGACCATGCGATCGGCAAGTCCTAGGCGCTGAGGATTTACCCACAGTGCCACCCACGTCCCATTTATCTTCCATGAATTTGTCTAATTCTTTTGATCAATCCAAACGGGTGGCCATTACTACACCTTGGGGTAGAAGATTCCATAGACTGCCTGCCCCCACCTTATCCCCTAGCACTGTGGGAAGCAGCATTGGTGATGCAGTGGTTGCCCCACTGGAGCGAGTTGGGATTGTTCCCTAAATACCTAAGCACTAGAGTGCTTTCACAGTTGTCAGGCTGCCATCTTCCCATGTACAGCTCCGAAGCATTTCCCCTGCTGGAGCGGTCGTGTTCAGGTGGCAACGCATTATCATGCCAGAAATATAGCACTAAGGGGAAATTCAACTTTTTCAAAAGCATCTAAATAAAATCTTACATATTTGGGCTACAATTATAACTCACTGCTTAGCCTTGTGAGTAACTTTTAATGTTCACAAAAGGTTAAGTATGGAAACGGTTATTTGGCAAATTGAACATTTCTGAAGGAGTTTAAATGATCCATTGGCTTTGACTTGTTTCTCTACCACGCTGCAGAGTGAATATTCCTCGGGGAAATTCTCTTCTTTCTTTTCTTTTTTCTTTTTATAACGTGGAAATTAAAAAGAATTCCACAACTAATAACCTTGAAAATAATGGGGATGATGTTCTACCTTATGCTTACAAGCATCTAGCAGTTACACAGACTTTTCTGCTAACCACCAAAACAGAGACAGATGGGAAATAATTAAAAAAAATCCTCATACTTATTCTGCTAAGCATAGACTTGTGCTTCAAAATCCCTAGAGGTGTAGTTAGCTCATGGTAATCCACCTCCTGTCAGGCCTTATTGCTTAATTATAGTGATGTATTTAACTTATTTATCACAAGAAAGCAATAGTCTCTCACTTTAAAAATGTGTGTATTAACCATGTTGCACAAATAATAGATCACAAGGATATATAGTAGAGGATTTAAGACTATCAAATAAGGCACATTGTTGATATCTAAATGTCCCCTGAGAAGTTAAGGAACGCCTATAAGCATATTTAAAATAAACTGCAATAGTTCCAAGGCCTTTAATGGCAGTAAGAGAGCTGTTTCGTTCACACTATCTCGCAGTAATCACCATAGTTTAAAATAGATTTTAATCAAGTACCATCTGCATAATAGACTGAACAAACAACATAAAATTCTACTTATAACTTACCATATAAAGTAAAAATGGTAAAGCCTCTGCTACATAAACAGAATAGGCTGCAGTAGTACTTTAGTGATCATGTTTCAGTTAGTTAACATTTGCTGTTTACAGTCCTCTCATTACTCTCTGTTCTCTAAATTCCATGAAATCCTTTCATAAGTGAAATTCAAACAACCATACACAGTGCAATACACAGTCATCTGTCTAGTTAGGAATACGGATTTGTGATCATACAAAGCATCTAATGTGTCACAATTATAAATAGCAATTCAGTGGTACCTTGGGTTAAGAACATAATTTTTTCTGGAGGTCCGTTCTTAACCTGAAACTGTTCTTAACCTGAAGCACCACTTTAGCTAATGGGGCCTCCTGCTGCTACCACTGCATGATTTCTGTTCTCATCCTGAAGCAAAGTTCTTAACCCGAGGTACTATTTCTGTGTTAGCGGAGTTTGTAACCTGAAGCGTCTGTAACCCGAGGTACCACTGCACCAGAAATATACATGTTTAATGAACCAATAGGATGAATTGTTACATTTACTGGAAGGCAGTACTCATTCAGAACACTTAAGTGGTCAAAATAAATGTGAAGAAAATGGGGAAAGTTACATTAAATAATCTCAATGGTACATAGAAGTGGCAACTGCAAAATTCTAGTTATTGGTAAGTCTTAAAGCTTCATGCATCACTAACAAAAACGAATGCAGCAGAATTCTTTCTTCTAAGGACTGTCTTCTAGGGAAAATCCCCAAAAAGGGAAATTTGGACAAAATTGGGCTTGTATCCACCCTTCCATAATTATCAACATTTGAGTCTCTCTCTGTGTGTGTGAAATTTAATTTTTCCATAAAATACTATTTTGTTGTTTGAGTTGTGGTTTAACAACTTAAGCTAATCAGGTAATAATAGTCCTACAGTCATACCTTGGAAGTCAAATGGAATCTGTTCCGGAAGTCCGTTCGACTTTCAAAACATTTGAAAACCAAAGCGCGGCTTCTGATTGGTTGCAGGAAGCTCCTCATGCCACCGCAACCGCATGTGGGGGATCCTCCGTTTGCAGCTGCAGCTGCGAGCAGAGGATCCCGGCGCCAGTGGCAAACTGCTATGTATAACACATGTGCGGTGTTGCACACATGTGCTGTACGTAACGACAACGCACATACGCTGTACATAGCGGTTTGCTGGCGCCGCCGCTCCAGCACTGTACGGACAGCGGTGGGATCCCTCCGTTGCCAGTACAGCCACATGTAGAGAATCCTCAGTTAGCGGCTGCAGCCGCGAGCAGAGAATCCTGGCACGTAGCAACGCTGCACATGTGTCTTATGTAGTGAAACCCCGCCCCAGGTGTCACGACGCCTTCATTCGCCCCTGAGCTGGTGGCCATCATTACATATTGTTTGCGTGAATTCACATTCCCTTTCTGTGCTATTCTCCTGTCCTCTTCTGCTTCTGCAACATGTCCCCATGCTCTCATTCATTAAAACAAACACATTGTAAGAAAAATCTAGAATTCTTTCTTGCTGAACAGCTCTCCTGCCATACTTCTTACTCCAGCCTTGAACATCATCTTTCTTGTTAGCGCATTTCAGAAATATGCTGTTTTGATGGAAATAACTTCTAAGCAATATCATACAACTATAGAATCGCTTACAGCGTGATGTTCTCCTGGTTGCAAACCTTGAAAAACCAAAGTATGTTGCTAGTCATACCTTTGAAGTGTCATCTCCTTCATCTTCATGAACTGAACTGGATGGTGAAGGAGTTGCAGACTTGCTTCCAGGAGGAGATGGGGAGTTATGTGGAACATTGTTTCCACCCATGTTCAAACCAAGCTGAGCACTTAGTTGTGACTGGTTAATGGTTGTCAGCTGACCATGTTGCAGCATTCCAGGCTGCCTCATATCTCCGGGTTGAACCCTTGGTCTCATGGCTGCTATCTGGGGGTGGGAACTATACTGAGCTCCTTCTGTATTCCGTAATTCTTGCATCTAAGAGAAAAAGGAGAATTTGTAAAGTGAGAGTGTATCATTATTATACCACTATTGAAAGTGTTCTGTCTCATTAGGAGTTTGAAAATATTTTGCTTAACCTTTAAAACAACATTGCAGCATTTAAGAACAACAGTGTTTAATAGCTCAGTGCTTAAGGAAATTCTAATGACTTCAGTGAAGAATATCCCTTCATGTATCATGCCTTGAAAAACACTCCAAGCACAGAAAAATTATGAGCTGCAATTGTATAATTAGATTTAAATCTTAACTTTTCCTAAATCAATGGGGTTTAAATATGAGGCCTGCAGAATTCTTCAGTAGATGGTATTGTAGTTCTAATATACCCCAAACTGCCTGAGGAACTATTCTGATTTCAGAAATGCTATCATTGAACTGACTAATCATAAATGAATGCAAAGAGCTTTAAAGTTCTGAACCCAACAAATTAATCCATCACTTTATTTGGGTCACTGCTTTTAACCTTAATGGACTTCTGATTTTGTTTTTTTAATTCAAGCAATGAATCCAAACTTTGCTGAGATGAGGATTAATCAATGGACAATGAAGTGCTTTACTTCTCTGGAAGACAAATATACTTGTCCACGGATATCCCACAATGTCCTACTGTAATTCGCTGGCACAACTGACTTCTGTGAGCCCTCCTCTCCTGTCACCTCCAGAGCATATTCTGTGGGCACGCAGGGGAAGAAAGGAAACAAGTCCTGTTGTACCAGTGAAACTCTGCTGGCACAGCATTGGACACAACCCTAGAAGTTCTAGGAGATCCAAGTAAACAAATTGGTGATGTAAGTGACGATAGAAGTGCTTCTGTATTTGACTATATGAGGATAGAAGACTAGAAATTGTAAATGTATTTATTTTCAAGTGTTGCACAATACAGAACAGCTCTAGATATTTAATGAAGGGGCACAGTCTGGAAGTCTGCCCAACATATATAGCAGAAAGTAGTAATGTCAGTCTAATCATAAACTAATTGTTGCAAATAATTAAATTTTCTCTCAGATTTATATTTTATCATAACATTTAAATTCCAGGAAGTTTACACATTTGGTTATGAAAACAGAGGCCCAGTTTAGCTGTGAAGGAGCCACATTTCCTGCATGAGAATGAGGCATGGAGAGATTTGGGCTTGTTTACTTCCCTCTGCTTATTCATGCACCAGAAGCTAACCACAGTTCCCTATGATGTCTGAGTTTGGGAAAGTGAGCTCTGTTTAAAACTTGAATTGAGAACAAGCCAGGGTCTATAACCATGATTTTACCTTGGCTTGATCTTAGCTCATAATTTTAGCAAATCACAGTTCCCCAAGTTTGAACATCATGAGGAAATGTGGATAGTTTAAAATCAAAAGTGTTATGTAGTGTAGTTTCACCCTGGGCCAACAGGGGGATACTGTATATAGTTTTCACTCAGGTCTGTAGATAGTTTTCACTCAGGTCCGCGGCAGTTATTTTAGGCGGGAACTCTGGGCTGTTGTGGTTACAATGTTGACAGCCGGCTGCCTATAAATACAGGCCGGCTGAGCTGTTCGCAGTCAGTTGTATTCCAGCTTACCATAATAAAGAGCTACTTGAAGAAATCGCTGTGCCGGCTGCTATGTCAACCCACGACTTAACTAAAAGCATTAAATTTCATCCAAAAGAAAGAAGGAGGGAAGGAAGACGGAATAAAGAGGGAGAAATGGGGAGCCTGAGGTTCACTGTGGTTCAGCATCCAAGCAGGAAACATTTCTTCCACCTATGTCTGAACTAGGTTGGACACAGACATGCTTGCATCTCATACAACCCTTAGAGATCATCATATAACTATTGACAGCAGGTAGGATAGTCATTATAATATTGTAATATTTCCATCAAGAACTAAGGACATGACTATAGGTTATGAAATGCTATGGAGATTAGGTTTTGATCTGCTTTATTTTAATTTTTTTGGCATGCGCATGGATTGCAACACATTCATGCCAGCTGTATCTAGAAGTCCCAGAACATGCACTGTAGTTTTATTTTTCACCCAAACATTTTAATGTGGAATACTGCAATATGAATTATCACTTTTAACAGGCTTTGTACAGATTTGTGTAATAAAATTTCTGGCATGTGTAGAATTGATACTTAGGGAGGGGGGAGGGGAAAAGGAAAGAGGAGAGGGGGAAATCAATGTATACTGTCAACCAATGGCTTACATTTGAATCTTGAAAAACATTTTGTGATTGTTACTGGCACTTTAATCTCTTCTTTCAAACACCAGCTCCATCCTAGTCAAACATATTAGCCTTGAAAGCTATCATTATCTCTGCCTCTAGCAGACAATCTATATCTGAACAGTTGTACACATAAAACTCTAACTACTTCTTGGCTGTATCGCTTCTGATCCAGCTGATTTGCTGAATAGCAGTTGGTGAATGAAGAACTCGAATATGGGCAGCCCTGAGGCCCTATTTGCTAATGTTAGTCACCAGCTGCTGCTTTCTGTGGTGTTAGCAGGAAAGGCCTGGAAGTGTGCCAGATGCAGCAAGAACAAGGAGAAGTGAGGCCTCTCTGAAGCCCTTCCATTTAGCCCTGCCTGTTATCGTTTGACCCTGAACACTGGAGAGAGTTTTCCTCAAGGCTACTGAAATGCATTGCAGGAGTTAAAGTGTGACTAGAGCTTATACTGTACAATTACTCAGCAAAGTATTCCCACCCACCCCCAGCACTTATCTACAGGGCCTTACAGTGGCACATTATCATAGCATTGTTTATTTTAAAAAAAAATTGAAATGAGGCAAAGTTAGAGCTGAGTTTTGTTAAAATAGATAGCTGAAATTGTAATCCACACCTTAACACCACCACATCTGTTTCCTGCAATTACAAAACAGTACAGGTAGAGAATGTGTTTGTGTGGAACTTCAGGTACCAGGCGTCTCTATCTGGCCACCTCTCCAGCCACAACTCCTTCTCTCAGGCCATTCTCCCTGTGGGCCCTGCCTTGCATTCTTACGTGCCATTTCTGTCTGGCTGGAATGTGTCAATGAACACTGATAATGCTTCTACTTTTCCTGGATGAAGGGCAGTGTGTGTGCATGTAGAAAGAAGCCTACTGTACAAAGGTAAAATTAGATGTCTTTTATCCAGCCACTTTTGCATATTGCCCAACCCACCACTAGCACCTAGTTAGAAAACTACCCACGGTTGGTATCTGTGCAGTTGAAACATAGCACCATAGTGAACTAGAAGGAAAAGGGAGCTTGCATGTAGAGGAAGAGGAAGACCACATTGTGTAAGAAATGAGCAAGACAGCTATTGGGGCAGCGAGTGAGGCAGTTTGTTAATAGGTTCAACCTAGTAATGCTGATAAGTGATCAAATATGGAAAGAGATACTGGCAGCAAATCTCTATGGCAGAATTTGTTTGGGACTGCAGTCAGCTGTTCTTAATTTACAGAAATATGTGAAAATGTCTTATACTGAGTTGGGTCAATGGTCAACCTAATTCAGTATAGTCTACATTGACTGGCAGCAGCTCTCCAAGGTTTCCCAGTCCTACCTGAAGATTCCAGAGATCGTTTGCATGCAAAGCGCATGATCTACTACTGGGCCTTTGCCCAACCAATTGTTCAATTGTGTAGCATAGAACTACACAAGGATCAGATAAGTATGAATTGTAAATAACTATGGCTTTAATGACATTAGTTATTAGAGCACAGAACAACCAACGTTGTTCTTTTGATTTAGATCGCAGTAATCATGTTTACATGAATCATAATATCTTGATTCCAAAGAAAATGGCTTTCCCACCCCTTCTTCCTTACTGCACATCTCTGCAAATGCTCAAATGCCACTGCCATTTGTTGGGAGACATTCTTGAACAAAGTGAGATGTAGTGTTGAGCTTCAATGGAAGGAGTAAATTGGTGGAAATTTGGGAGTACATCTTGTGTGAATTCAGGTACCTTTCCATTTCCACAAGGCATCCAAGTTAGAGGCGGGTAATGTTTGGGGCAATTTGTCAGGAACCTCACATCAATTGTGTGTGGGACCAAAACTAGCTGTTGGTGAGGCTAGAACTAAAAATGGACACTTTTTCAACACCTTCTTTCTCACTTTTCTTCTTTACCCAGCAGCTGCCAGGGAGGAACAGATGGCTCTTGTCACGAGGTCTGACCTGACCACTTGCAGAGGGCTTCTGAATTTGGTCAAGGACCACATAAAATAAGGCTAAGGGCCACAGGTCGCCCACCCCTGCTATATATGCTAGCTAAAGCAAGATGAAAATTAACCCCAAAGCCAAGGGAAAGACAGATGTAATATAAAAACAGAGCTCACAGCAAATTCTTCAGCTGCCATGTTAGTCCAGTTTCGCAGCTGAAATAAAAGACATGCCTGTGATTAGTTTTGCCCTTCTGTATTCTCCAGGTGAGCTATCCATCCTTTAAAGTTTTTAAGTGCTACATAAGCATTCCTTTAAAAATCCATTTGTTCACTCCTTATTAACTTTTAAAAGTTGCATGGATGGCTAGTGGCAGGATGGGGTAGGGCAGTTTTCAGTAATAACAACAGGGAATCTCACTGTTCAGCACTGAGGAATCTCCTTATTAACTTTTAAAAGTTGCATGGATGGCTAGTGGCAGGATGGGGTAGGACAGTTTTCAGTAATAACAACAGGGAATCTCACTGTTCAGCAAGCTTCTTAAAACAGGCATCCCTACCTCCCACCCAGACCTTGACAAAGAGGTCATATGGGCCAAATGCAACAAAGAAACTTCCACTGCTCTAAGAATGTCATCTTTTCACCCAAGGCTTGCAATATTTTTCCAGATCAACAGTCCTCTTGTATCGAGGAAAACACTTTTTTGAAGGCCTCACAAACCTGCCTGTGCATTTTAGTCACAGCAGTAATGATTGAAATCTGTAGCTGAATTTTGCAATTTGGTCACTTGTTACAATGGACTGCAATAGAATAATTCAAAAGGATGAAACAAAAAAGTGATCTAAATATGATAATTAAAGATGCCCATGACAGGTGCAAAATATACCCTTAATATAGGAAATATTCATATATTTGTTAAAGGAGTTAGTGATTTACTGATAAAGTTTAAGTAACAAAAGATGTACATTGCCTGGATCTCTGGTTTATAGCATGCTGCAGTTTAAATAACCTCATCTGCTTCAGGCTAGAATCAAAATATAATTCTAACTTCTCATTTGATGAGAAACTAATCTTATTCTTAAGTAACTGAAATTATAAGGCTTAAAATAATTTTCTCAGTAATAAAAAAAACAAGAAAAAATAACATTCAATTATTGGTTTCTACTATTAACACTGGGTAATGCTCTCTTGAAGGAAGCCATCTTGTCTTTCACCATATCAGCTCTTGTAAGTGACCGTAAGCTTCTTTAAAACAATTAAATACTCAAATGTTAACGGCAGGTTTTTAGAGCATGATCATGTAATGACACAAATGTACTAGCGTAACATTTCTTGGTACACACTTAATTTTGTGAATATTAACATTCTCTTCTACTTGATGTGTTAATAACCTTTTGAGTCACACAGGGCCAAGGTCTCAAAACTAATCATAAAAAACACACTGACTGCTATTCACTCTAATATAATAACCCTTTATTTAAAACAACCTCCAATAAATTTCATTATAAGAAGTTATTAAAAGGGTTAAAACCTATTAAATGTCAAAGAATTTGCCTGACTCAAACTTCCAATAAAGGAAGAAAATAGGCTTTCTTTCTGAATTATTTAAATCTTTACTGACTGTGCACTGAACCATTAAATTAGAAAAGTGTTATTAGAAGTGTTCTCTGGTTTTTATAAAAGTTGCAGCCTGGAATGTATCAAGCCACAGCCTTTAACCTGACTAGTTAAAGAAATAGGTTTTTAATCCCAAATACATGGCTTTCCTTGATATATAAAAAGAGGTCATAATTAAAAGTCTGGCCTGCAAGCTGAAGATAATAAAAGTATTATTACAGGAGCATACATGTTCATTTAGTATATTCTTCATGCATGCTTCCATTTTAATTTGGACAGATGCCTTTAATTTAGTTTCATCTTTCAGTGTCCACTCATTTGGACCCTCTTAGCAATCAATAAAACTTCTAATTGTGACTCATTTTGAAGAATTAATGGGGAATCTTAGAAAAACCAAAGCCAGTGCATCCTAATTCTAATAGGTTAATATTTTAATACGTGAGCCTATATACTAGCATACTTGCCTTTATCAACACTTTACACTTAATTATAACTTAAGCCTGAATCACAGGTGAAAAGTGAACTCCTTATTTCATATTTTAAAATCACTTTCCTAGAACTCCTAAGCCAGCAGTATATTGCATTATAACACCAAATCAGCTATCCTTCATATATGCTAGAGCTGCTTCATTCGGCAATCCAAGTATTTAAAGGCTTGGCACCATGTCAGAAGGACCAGTCATGCAGCCCCATCGAACCATCGCCTATGGTTCAATATGATGATACAATGGAAAAGACATTGGTCCTACCGCATAGTGCCAGGCCTTTCAATGTTATTGTGTGTTCAGACCCAGATAGCTCCCCCCTAAATAAAAACACATTTGACTCAAAGTTTAGTTTTGGTTTTTGGCAGAATTTAGGCCACAACTTTATTGATTACAGGAAGTGAGTGGTTGCATAGGCTCTGGTTCGACTACCTCCCTGCACCCTTGCAAGCAGCGCTGACCCAGGGCACCCGCATAGGTCAGCCAAGGGTGAACACCTGGGTAGGCAAAAAGCCAGGAACAGACTATGTTCACCCTCTAGATGCTCCCCTGGACTCAACCATGGGCACAACCCCCTCTTGGGGGTTGACCAAACCAGTTGAGTCCCTGGGTTCCTTTAACAGAATACCCTTCACATAGGGATGACGAGACCATTCTCCCATCCCTATCACCCGAACCAGTGCCTATCCGCAACCTTACAAGTTGTGATGATTTGCTAAGCAGTAGGTGAAACCCAAATGGCAACAGCCAATCAGCCAAGCGGGGAAAATTCCTGCCGTGCCCCTGTCCCAACGACAGACAACACATGACGGCATAGCAAGGTCAATTGCAAAAAATGCCCTAAAAGTAGGGAGAGGTGGGCGGGTGTTCCGAATGCACGAGCCGAAAGAGGAAGCTCTGGGTCACGTGCATGGGTATATATAGGTCCCTCGATCTGTTTGGACCCAGTGGCCAGATTAAACCCAACATCAAGGGACCTACCAATTGGGTGTTGTGGCTATCCAATCTTACCCACCCACAACACAGGAGGTCGGTCTCCAGGTCTCACCGCAACACGTGTCCTCTTTTTGGGAGGATACAATCTGCAACAATAGGGGTGAAACCATAGAGAAGTAACTCTGAAGCACCTCCTATAGTATGAAGATGCATTTCATTAAATACTGGAGAAGAAAACATATGCAAGACCATTTTGCTTTTTATTTTAAGCAAGTTATCAAACAATTTAAAGCTAAATGGCCTAGTAACTGAAGTTTCTTTCTTAAACGTATTGATTTAGGAGTACTGGTTATTTCATTCATCAACATTCCACTGTCCAGTGAGGTGGTGGGAAATTATGGGCACTATAAGACTCTTCAGAGTCATCAAGGGGGTTTATGATTAACTATATAACATTCTATAATTAAACTACATAAGAAATCACAGATATTATTACATGTAACAATACTAAGGTAATTACATTTCCTCCCAGAATTATTAACTGAAAACAGTGCTCAAATACTTATGAGCAATAACAGTACCCTAAATGTCTTAAGTTGCAATCCTATACTTGCTTAAAGGTAAAGGTACCCCTGCCCGTACGGGCCAGTCTTGACAGACTCTAGGGTTGTGCGCCCATCTCACTCAAGAGGCCGGGGGCCAGCGCTGTCCGGAGACACTTCCGGGTCATGTGGCCAGCGTGACATCGCTGCTCTGGCGAGCCAGAGCCGCACACGGAAACGCCGTTTACTTTCCCGCTAGAAAGCGGTCCCTATTTATCTACTTGCACCGGGAGTGCTTTCGAACTGCTAGGTTGGCAGGCGCTGGGACCGAACAACGGGAGCGCACCCCGCCGCGGGGATTCAAACCACCGACCTTTTGATCGGCAAGCCCTAGGCGCTGAGGCTTTTACCCACAGCGCCACTTGCTTACCTAGTAGTAATTCCCTCTGAATTCAATGGAACTTGCTTCTGAGTAGACACGCATATGACCATGCTGATATTAATAAGAATAGCAGCAATTTAAATATTCTGACTATGTCTTTTTATGGCAAAGTGAACAAGCTACCCAGCATCCCAGTCAAATGTTGTGCCTTTGTCAATTTCATATATGTATAATTATAAGGCAAGACACTTCTAGTAAGTGATAAAAAATGGGTTTTGCTCTGGGGACTAAAGTGGTTTAATGATATGCTAATAAGTCTCTCTTTCTCCTGTATTGTATTATTTACAACTTTGTCTTATTAATATCTGCAGGATAATAATGTGACTGCAGTTTGCCACCCCAAGCACTGTATATTTAAAAACAGGAAAACGTAATGATTTGGTTTTGCTGTATTTGGAAAAGAAATGACCACAGTCTTCAAAGAATAAGAGAAATCATGGCATATCTCATTAAACAAGAGGATATGAAGACATTAGGTTATTTCATACGCATTTGCTATTCACTCTATATATATATATATATATATATATAAAATGAGGCAAATAGAGATTCTTATTATCATTGTCATCTTTTAACTGATATTGTGTTGAAACCAGTTTTGTAGCACTTCCTTTATCCTCTTGCACCCCGTACAGTAAAATCAACCATTCTTAAGATAAAACGCCTCTCCTCTTTATGTGTACTGCCAAAGCCTAGCCCTGTGAACTACAACTGGAGAAATCTAACAAAAAACTAGCAGAAATATTCTACCCATCATGTGGATAAGATGTGCTTTAGTTTTAAAGTGAGACAGTGAGACTGGGGTACTGACAATGAGTTCTGAAAGAGGGACAAGAAAAATAAGAGGTTGCAGAATAAAATAATTTGAAGCTTCAATGGCTGGGGACAGAACAAAGAGGGAATAAAAGACAAGTAGTTTGGAACAGGAGAGTAAGCCAATGTGAAAAGGTTTGATTTCAGAACGAAGCACTGAAAGATCTGCATTATTAAAATAAAAACAGCTATTAGTTACATAATTGACAAAAATCAATACACAAGGCCAAACACAGATTACTTATTCGTTATGTGAGAGGAAAACCAGGATAAAGCTTGCAAAGCGGCCCCATGCCTCAATGAATGTGAAATAAATAAATAAATCAGTGGCTTTTTGAGCTAGTTTTGGATATGGGGGGGGGGATCCCTTTCAAGCCTCA